CCTGCAGCGTTCCTCCAACACCCTCCATTAACAGAGCTTCTGTATACATGATGCCCCTTGCAAAGGAGAACCACTTGGAGGGGCCAGTGTCATAGAACTGAAAATGAAAAATCTGTTTAGAGCTTGAAGGCAATAAATGTATAATGGGCACCATATGACACAATGGGTTATCTCTGGTAGTTGGTGGTGATGAGTTTATGGGTTCTCCTGCATTTAAAAGTTCTGTCTTAATTTGTAACATTGAAAATAGCAATAGATATAACCCACTTAAACAAAAGCTTTTTCAGGTCCTTAATTTCTAAGCATAAAGGGATCATTAAATTAAAAAAAAATTAAGAGTACTACTGCTTTATAAACAGGTAAAACTCAACTGTAATATTAGAAATCCTGGGGAGAAGGAGCACAGTGGAAGCCATTGCACTTTGAGGAAGTTCATTCATCTAAACACTTAATGATTTGTCAGTGTTTTATATGTATTTCTATTATATTTGTATTATATTTCAGTAAAAAAGGGAAAACATTTCCCTTTCTTCCTAACTCTGTAATCTTGTTAATCTTGTCTGTAACTTTTAAAAATTATCCCTTACTCTGGCTAGTTTCATGATTGAAGATTAAAGACTGAGTTGTGTCATGGTGAGTGGAATCTGCTTTATAACACTGCCTGGGGCCTTTCTGCTCATCCTCAGCTCTGCATTCTGTGAATTCCCCCCAACAACAAAAAAAATGTTATTTAGTTCATTTTCCATTATAATAAAGAAATACCTGAGGTTGGAACTTTATAAAAAAATATTGGGGAATGGTATTGACCAAATTCTAGTGTTATATTATGTATATGTTCGAATATGTAACAACAAATTCTATTATGTACAACTATGACACATCAATAAAAATAAATGGAGAAAAAAAGAGAAGAGGTTTATTTAGCTCACAATTTTGGAGGCTGTAACTCTAAATAGTATAATGAGGTACCCCCATGGTATATGTCATATGGTGGGAGTACATGTGAGAGTGATAAATCTCACAGGAGGTGAAGGTCTTATTACTTATTCCATACCTGAAGCATAATATTATAAAAATATAAATAATCTAGCTACTGTTTATAACAAAGCCAATATGGGGTCAGGCTCGATATTTTATAACAGCCTTCTTGAGAGAACTAACTAGGATCCTACAAGAACTACATCACTTCTCCCAAGGGCAGCAGTTCCAGTGACCTCTCACTATATATAGCCCACCTTGTAAAGGTTCTAATAGCTGTCAACATCACCACACTAAAAGACCAGACTTTCAGCTTGTGAGTCATGTGTAGATCATTGCACACAGACAGGTGGTCTCTCCATTATAAAAGCTGATCTACAATTCCAAAAGGTTCTTTGGTTCTTCTCAAGTGTTTTATGGCTCTCCAGGTGGGTTTGTGTATCTTCATGAGCATGCATGATTTTCCCACTCTTTGTGGTACTTTCTGATTTACTTTGGGAGAATATTACCCTGGGCAAATTTGTTGTGGTCTCTGAATTATTATGTTTAACTATTAGACTTAGGATATTATTTAACTTTTGTCATCTATTCTTCTGTATATAATTTTCCTGGATCCTAATTTTCTTTTTTTTTTTTTTAATTTTTTTATTAGTTGCTCAAAACATTACAATGATCTTGACATATCATACATTTGATTCAAATGGGGTACGTAATCTTATTTTTCCATGTGTACAGATTGCAGGATCACATTGGTTATACAGCCACATTTATACATAGGGCCATACTAGTGTCTATTGTATTCTGCTACCCTTCCCATCCCCCCTCCCATCACCTCTTTCTACCCAATCTACTGTGACACGTTTCTCTCTCTCTTTTTTCTTCCCCATCACACCATCTTATATGTAATTTTGCATAACAGTGAGGGTCTCCTATCATCTTCCTTGCAATTCCCCTTCTCTCTCCCATTCCCACGCACCTCTCATCCCTATTTCATGGTAATCTTCTTCTCATGCTCTTCCTCCCTGCTCTGTTTTGAGTCACCCCCCTTATATCAAAGAAGACATTCTGCATTTGTTTTTTAGGGATTGGCTAGCTTCACTTAGCATAATCTGCTCTAATGCCATCCATTTCCCTGCAAATGCCATGATTTTGTTGTTTTTTAGTGCTGAGTAATATTCCATTGTGTATAAATGCCACATTTTTTTTTATCCATTCATCTATTGAAGGGCATCTGGGTTGGTTCCACAGTCTATCTATTGTGAATTGTGCTGCTATGAACATTGATGTAGCCGTGTCCCTGTTGTATGCTCTTTTTAGGTCTTTTGGGTATAGTCCTAGAAGGGGGGAATAGCTGGGTCAAATGGTGATTCCATTCCCAGCTTTCCAAGGAATCTCCATACTGCTTTCCAAATTGGCTGAACCAATTTGCAGTCCCACCAGCAATGTACAAGTGTACCCTTTTCCCCACATCTTTGCCAGCACTTATTATTGTTTGACTTCATAATGGCTGCCATTCTTACTGGAGTGAGATGGTATCTTAGAGTGGTTTTAATTTGCGTTTCTCTGATTGCTAGAGATGGTGAGCATTTTTTCCGTGTATTTGTTGATTGATTGTATATCATCCTCTGAGAAGTGTTTGTTCAGATCCTTGGCCCATTTGTTGATTGGGTTATTTGTTTTCTTCTAATTTTCTCTTTTTGAATACTATGTTCTTATAATCTTATTTTTTTCCATACAGTTTTAAAATTTAATTCTTTAACATATCATTCACTAAATAAATCTGAATCACTACTTCTTTTCTGCAAAACCTACTGTCTAATTAGGATTAACTTAGGAAAAGCGACCATATATGACACAATACAATCCAGCTAAATAATAAAAGAAACTTTCTCAGAACTTCTTGGCTCATACCCAGGCCATTCCTGATTTCACAGTCTTGTGCTAGTAATTTTCAAGTCAGACATTCAGGATGCATCCTCATAAAACATTGAATATTGGCTTGATTACTTATTCCATACCTGAAGCATAATATTATATAAATATAAATTATCTAGCTACTGTTTATGACAAAGTTGTGATAGGAAACTTTTCAGAAGTGTTATTAGGAATTCTAGGGACACACTTTTTTATGGCCTACGTAGTTAGTCTTTTGGGTCCTGTCTTTTTATTTCAGACTTGGAGGAAAGGCGCTACAGAGTGTAGCAGACTGTATGGGCCTTCTATTGCTTTCTGCTTTTCTTGCCATGTACGTGGCTAACAATGCTCTTGGTATGTTTTACCTAATAACCTTCTGTTTCTCTTGATTTTTTTTTCTTTTTGTTATTTTGGTAAACCAGCAGCTATGCAATAACCTTGGCTGTGTTCTCCTTCCCAATTCTGTTAAAATAATAAGGATTAAATTGGGGAAAGAGATCATATACAATGGCTTTGAGTAAACAGGGTAAATGGGGCATGGACAGAGAAGTGGAAATAAGGCTGTGGGCATTGTGGATCAGTTGCAGCTAGATAGGTTCCTGGTAATAGGATGGAGACCATGCTGGAAAGCCCAGGTCATGGGAATTTGGTAAAAAAGGATGAGAGGAGCTGAAATGGTATATAGTGAATGACAGTAAAAACTACTCATTTGGTCCTTTTTCTCTAGGAGAGCAGAGGAACAAGGACTGATGGGGCTCTACAGTGATTTCCTTTCTTTTTCCTTTTATCCCCTTTACCTTGTCATCATTTTTCCTACCCTTTCCCTTTTCTTCCTACTGCCTGTGAGAAGCCCCAGGGTAGAGTGTACAGTAAGTAGGGTTGTACAGAAGCATCAGAAGAGGAGTTTGGTTGATGTTTTCCTCATTCCCTTTCCCTTCTTCCCATTTTCCACTCTCCAAATTTATAACAGTGTAAGAAGCACTAGGTTTTTGAGAGAGAGCAGGGAAAAAAGGAAGAAAGACTGGAGAAACTATTACAAGTGTGGATATCTAACAGGGAGTTACAGACGCTCTTTTTAGGAGGCTTAGATTTTTTATTTTATTTATTTATTTTTTTTTAGAGAGAGAATTTTTTTAATATTTATTTTTTTAGTTTCGGTGGACACAACATCTTTATTTTATTTTTATGTGGTGCTGAGGATCGAACCCAGCGCCCCACGCATGCCAGGCGAGCACGTTACCGCTTGAGCCACATCCCCAGCTCCTGGAAGCTTAGATTTTAAAAACACATCCCTTAATAGGTGATTGCTTACTACTATTCTCTTGGTATCTGTTCTCTAGTAATATCTAGCTAACAAGGTTGAAGGAAGACACCTTGTACTTAACACAGTGCTAGAAAAATACAATGTAATGTATTGATTTTGTGTGAATATATTTTGGGTTTGTTTGATCTTTCTGATGTTTGCATGTGTAAGCACAATCTTTACTAAATGAGATGCATTTAGTTGATAATTAGTTATGTAAGCAGCAGCACAAGGAGTTTGGTCAGCAGAACCTGGGCTGTGAGGTCTTCAGTCAGGCCCTGCTGGTGCTTTTTAGTTATCTCTGTCTTGGCTTGTCACGTCAGTGTGACATGTGACTTTAGTTTTCCTTACAGAATGAATAGGAAGAATAAGAACTTGGTACATAATAGGTACTCAGTAAATGCTATTTCTCTTTCTTTGTAGAAGTTATAGTTTTGTTTAGGTTATTAAACTGAACTAGTGTTTCTGATTTTTTTGTTTAATTGGATTCTTAAAATACATTTAGTGTGGGATTGATAATAATACAGCCTTAGTTTATTTTACATTGAAATGAATCAACTATAAACATTTATCAGGAAGGGGTATTTGATTTTAAAATTATGAGCAACATCTTTAAAATAACTTATTGCTTTAAATAGGTATTTATTAAATATATGACATTAATCACAACCTAAATAAAAGGTACTAACAAACTTGCCACTAAATCATACCATTTTTATTGTTCTTTCATCCCTTCTAGTCCAGATTGATTTGTTGTATTATCTTTAACAGTCACTTTTTATAAAGGTATTTTCTTTGTTTTTAGGTGTAAAACAAAGGTGTATCCAGATAATCTTCCTACAACAAGTGTCGTGATTGTTTTCCATAATGAGGCTTGGAGCACACTTCTGCGAACTGTCCATAGTGTCATTAATCGCTCACCAAGACACATGATAGAAGAAATTGTTCTAGTAGATGATGCCAGTGAAAGAGGTAAATTTTGATGGCAGTGATATCCTACACATTTTATCACTAATAGTTTACAAATTAGTTGCTATAATTTCTATAATGATTTTATACAAACTTGTAATTTTTTTGAAAAAATTCAGAGTATAAATTTAGCATTTAATTTGTATCACATCTTAATCTTATTTTATGTTTTTTAAATTATTTATTCTAGTTTGTTATACATGGTAGCAGAATGCAATTTATTTCATATTACACATATAGAGCACAATTTTTCAAGCCATTTTGTGTCTTCATACATGTACTTAGGGTAATGATGTCTAACTCATTCCACCATCATTCCTACCTCCTTGCTCCCTCCCTTCCCCGTCTTCCCCTTTGCCCTATCTAAAGTTCCTCCATGCCGCACCCCCCCCCCCCCCATAGCCATTATGAGTTAGCATCCTTATATCAAAGAAAACATTTGGCTTTTGGTTTTTTGGGATTGGCTTGCTTCACTTAGCATTATATTCTCCAACTCCATCCATTTACCTGCAAATTCCATAATTTTATTCGCTTTTAATGCTGAGTAATGTTCCATTGTGTATATATACCACAGTTTCTTTCTTTTTTTTTTTAAAGAGAGAGAGAGAGAGAATTTTTTTAATATTTATTTTTTAGTTCTCGGCAGACACAACATCTTTGTTGGTATGTGGTGCTGAGGATTGAACCCGGGCCGCACGCATGCCAGGCGAGCGCGCCACTGCTTGAGCCACATCCCCAGCCCCATACCACAGTTTCTTTATCCATTCATCTACTGAAGGGCATCTGGATTGGTTCCACAAAGTAGCTATTGTGAATTGTGCTGCTATAAACATGGATATGGCTGTGTCCCTGTAGTATGCTGTTTTTAAGTTCTTTGGGTATATACCGAGGAGCTACATCAAATGGTGGTTCCATTTCAAGTTTTCCAAGGAATCTCCACACTGCTTTCCAGATTGGCAGCACCAATTTTGTAGTTCCACCAGCAATGTATGAGTATGCCTTTCTCCCCACATCCTCGCCAACACTCATTGTTGTTTGTATTCTTAATAGCTGCTATTCTGACTGGAGTGAGATGAAATCTTAAGAGACTTTTGATTTGCATTTCTCTAATTGCTAGAGATGTTGAACATTTTTTTTATATGTTTGTTTACTGTTGTATATCATCTTCTGAGAAGTGTCTGTTCAGTTCTTTGGTCCATTTATTGATTGGATTATTTGGGTTTTTTTGGTGTTAAGGTTTTTGAGTGCTTTATATATCCTAGAATAGTGCTCTGTCTGATGTGCTTGTGGTAAATGCTTTATAATGTAAATGTTTATGAGAACAGTTTAAAAAAACCACATAATTTTGTTAGAATTTCTTCTGTGGAAAGCTGCAGCCCTGAGTCAGTGAAAAGAAGACTAGATCCTACTTATAGCCATAAATGGAGAATTTTAGTTCTATGTATAGGAAGTACCTTTGACAGCAAAATGGAGTCTTAAGCTGGAGAGCCCTTAGTTCTTCAGATTCTTTCTATTTCTGTGGAGTTTCCCTATTTCTTTATTTCCAAGTTTCAGAAATCTTAAGTCCATTAAAAGATTAAGAAGGATGAGCGAAGCACTGTGGTGCACATCTGTAATCCCAGCAACTTGGGAGTCTTAAGGCAAGAGGATCACAATATTTGAGGCCAATCTCAGCAACTTAGTGAGACCCTATCTCAGGATAAAAAATTAAAAAGGCTGGTGATGTTACTCAGTGGTAAAGTACTCCCAAGTTCAATCCCTAGTATGTAATGTAATAAAAGACTCTAATCTCTTAATAAATCTCTGCAATAACTCTTGCCCATATATTCTTCTAAAAATCTCAGAATTTTTCATAAGCTTACAGTCTCCTAAACAGTTTCATAAAGCACTCTTTTGGGAAAAGTTAAATTAATGTAATGGGCTGGCATTATTTATTCTGAATCCTTGTAGATTTCACAATGCAGTGTACTATAGAAAAAAAACTTAGTCCATCAGTAGAGAAACTTGTCAAACTCAGCCAATATTTCCTAATTTTCTTATCCCCCCCCCACAGTACATCTATTTAGGGATCATTGGTGTTGTGTGTTCCCCCAGTATTCCTATGTTTAGATAAGAAAAATTTGGAAAGCATTACAGAAAACAGCTTCCTATTGCTTTTCCTTCCTTCCTTCAGCTTTAAACTTCATGACCCATTGTTTTAACCTCTTTTATTATTGTCTTCAACTTATCTTACCTACTCTATCATTGTGTCTCCTAAGATGGTTTAGTCAGATATTCTACCCTTCATTTCTGTGCCTACACTGAATATTAATTATGGGGAGTAAATTATGTGTTAATAACAATTTAGGGCTGAGGTTATGGTTTAGCAGTAGAGCTCTTACCTACCAAGTGCGAGGTCCTGGGTTCGATTCTCAGCACCACATTAAAAATAAATAAATAAAATAAAGGTATTGTGTCCAACTACAATTAAAAAATAAATATTTTTAAAAATAACAATTTAAATGTTATTTTGCCAGATTATACAGGTACAAATGAAGAATAAGATATGGTTCTAGGGCTAGGGATATAGCTCTTTGGTAGAGTGCTAACCTAGCATGTACAAGGCCCTGAATTGGATCCCCAGCACCTCAAAAAAAATAATAATAAATAATAATAATACGTTAACTTCTCAAGTGCCTTGTATCTTCTTCCTTACCCTAATTAAAGGAATAATTTGTAATCACACAAAACATAAATACTCTAATGTGTAACAACTCAGTGTGAAATGAGAGTTGTTATAAATCACCAGCCTTAACAAAGAAATAATTACTATTGACAATAAAAATATAAGTTTCATATGGATAACTTTTTCCTAGAAGTTTATTCCTCTTCAATAAAATTAACCTAATTTAATTTAAGGAGCAATATATAAAAGTCATGTATTGCTTAATAATGGGAACAGTTCTGAAAAATTTATTGCTAGGTGACTGTCATTGTGCAAACACAAAGTGTACTTACACAAACTAAGACAGCTGTGCCAACACTAAGTGATGTAATTTTGTGGACCACCATCATATATACGGTCCATCCTTGACCAAAATAGCATTATGCAGTACATCGTGGTACAAACATCCTGCAAGTGATTTGTGCTTGATTTGCTTATGTGTTAATATTTGCTAAATTAAATATTTCTCAAGGAGAGATATTTTTCCACAAACAGAATGAATTCTTTTTTCATTTCCTCCTTTGGTTTTTCTCTTACTCTGTGAATGCCTGAAAAGGCTGTATAGAAGTAAGTTTGGGTAGAATATGGCTTCCTTAGAAATGTGTTTGTACCCAAACTAAAGTGTTCACTCTAAAGTGAACTCAAGTATGCCAGCTCTCTTTCCCTTGCCTCATGCAGGCCTTTACTTAATGTCCCAACTTTTGTAAATCTGAGTGAAAACTGATGTGGGAGGATGTCTGCTTTGCTGGTTCACCCAAGGCTCTTAATTTCCAGGCAGGGTCTCCTGAATGCTACCTCAGAGTCTCTGTTCTGGGATCTGATTCTCTTTTTATCTTTTTTCTTAGAAAGTGTCAAGTATCCAGGTCCTCATGTTTGATATAGGGGAACCTTAGGTATTATTTTCCTTGTATAGCTACAGACTTTGCTGTACAGATTGAGAATTATTTAGATAGCCCTTCCCATCTGTTTATCCCAGTATGAACAGAATGGGCCTTTAATTATAAAAACATGACTGTGTGACTTCTCTGATTAAGGTTTATGTCACCTAACTCTATCTGGCATTTCCAGGCACTTCTTGAACCATTCCCTGCCACTCTGGTCCTGTACTTCTGTCCTTTATTCATAATTTTCTTCTTTGAATTTGTTAAAAGAACCATTCTTTCTGTCTCAGAACCTTTCACCTCTACTGTTGCTATTCTTTATTCTAGAACATGTTCTCCAGGAAGTACTCATCTCTGCCATTTCCCCAGCCTACTTAACATCTCATCATCTTCAGAATTTCAGTTCAAATGGGATTATTTAGAGAGGGATTCCTTGACCTCTCCAGACCCTGTCACGTCTCTCTGAACACATCTTGGAACACTTCCTATTCTTCCACAGTGCTTAACAGAGTTTCCATTATTGACTTGTATGTTTAATGTCTATGTTCTTCTATTATACTAATCCCTCCATCAGGGTTGCTTGCTCACGATTATCTCCTCAGTGCCCACAGACTGTTTACATAGTGCAAATTTATTGAATGCATGTTCTACCATCCTTTAATGCTCTGTGCAGACTTTCTTTTTTTAAAATTTGTCTTATACTTTCTAATTGGAGTATATGGTATGCATTGTCTGCGCATGGCCTCAAGAGTACTTGATTTCACAGTTAACCTCCTGAGCAGCTCTATTTATTAAAAAAGTATGAAGTAGGTGCTACAATTAACCCTATTTAATATCTAGACTCTGTAAACTCAGGGCCTGACCTTGTAACTTCTGCATACATCACTTCTGATTGCCTCTGACAGAACTTTACTATTGTATGATCTGTAATGAAGTCCCAGAAAGAATGAATCCCTAGTTTGTGTCAGTAGTTATGGGATCATAACTTTAAAAGTTTATCTTAACTCTTAGAATTTGTATAAGATTCCTAATCGGAGATGGTTGTTGTTTTTCTCATTTTACACATAAGGAAGTCAAATTAGTCAGATTTATTAGCTTCTACATTTCTTGCTCTTCCTACTACTCTTTAGAGTTCCAATTAATATTTCTCAGATGTTGCTATGAATGGTGAGATTTTCTCTTTCTCACTAATAGCTTCATACTTCCTGATGGAGAGTTGTTTAGGGGTCCATTTATAGGACAATAACTATAGATATTCTAATAAACAAGATTCACTCTTATTTTTATGTGAAGTAATGGCTTTTAAAAAATCTTTATTTTAATACTTTGTAAAAGGGAAGATTAAAAACATGTACTTTCATCTCTTTACTAAAGGAACAGGAATACTGCTCAAATCTTTGAGGCAGAAAACCTATAATGCTGAAAGATGAAATCTTGAAACTTTATATCTCAGAAAGAGTGAAAACAAAAATGTGGAGGTATGGACCCCATGAATTATTAGTATAAATAGTTGAAGAAAAGATAGTAGCTTCTAACCACAGTCACTTCACTTCTCATGGCTTCATTTTTGTAAAGTGTGACTTGATATTCCTACTTTCCCGCCCAGTCTTGAGTCTATAATTCTGTATGAACTGAAAAAAAGACAACAGTGTTTTTTTAGTCTTATTGCATGAAAACCACAAAGATGCCAAGAAAATTTGTAAAATAATGAGTTTGTTACATTATCATACACAGTCTCATGTATTTTTTATTTTGTGCATCAACTAGAAACAGTTATGTATTTCAAAGGTGTGGATCTGGGGGTTAGATTACTTTAGTTTTTAGGAAGTATTTTACACTAAATTTTTAATATATTTTTTTGGAAAAACTTGTTGGGAGACACTTTTTATGATACAATCAACTTTTCTAAACTTAGGTACAAGAATATATCTCATACCTACCACATGAGATTCTGTCAAATTCTCAAGATAGAGTATTTTAAATTGATGCTGGATCAGGTGTTCCCACAAACCTAAATTGTTCTCTTTAGCGTTTCCTTCTAGGGTTTTCTTGCTTTGGACAAAAAGGTGGGCTTTGAAGGCAGGTAGACCTGGATTTGACTCTTGCATCCAACCCCATAACAAGCTGTGTCACCTTGATTGAATTTATATAACTTTCTGAGTCTTAGATTTTCATTTCTGAAGTATGCTTAATAACATTTAACCTCACAGGGTGGTTGTGAAGATTAAGTGAGGTAAAACATGTAACAAGTTAGCATTGTGCTAAATAGGCACAAAATGTTAGCTGCTAACTGCAAAATGTTGCTTTTTTCCTGGGATTTGCAGTTCCCACCTTTTTACTCATAATCTAATTAGGTATTCCTGATCTGAAGGCTTAGTTCATAAAACCATACTGATATTTGTTAGATACTATTTTTAGCTCAAATATTAGGAAGTATATTAGCAGAAATGGAAATTACTTGTAATCTGGATGGTTTCTATATCCCTGATTACTTCATTATTGACTCATTTTGCTTTTACCAAACAGGAATCACATCACTCCCATTTGTCCTCCCTACCCCACTATATAGGAAGTACTTTGGATTCCTATGCTCAATATTTAAAGAACCCCTTAATTTACATCCTGATTTCTGTGAATTGCTAGAGTCCTATTAGATAGAGCTAGTCAGAGAAATCCCAGTAGTTCCATCTCAATATTTCCATTCCTACAGAAATTATCCTTACATTTGTCACATGGGGACTAGTTGAAGACATCTGGTCATGTTACCATTGATCGATAACTTCTCTGCCATAAAATCCTAAAAAGTGATCTGATTCAAAAGATCTTTTCTCTTTGCTTTGATAAAGCTGTGTCTTTTCTACTTTTTAGTCAGTTGTGAACTTTGCAGGCAGGACATGCTTGCCTTACAGATAATAACCTCTTATATGACCTCTCCAAGATAGTTCTCCCTTTCCTTTTTACTTCCTTTTCATCTTTAATTGCTCCTCCCTCTTAAAAGCTTTTTTCTTAGACCTACTTTTCTGTTAAGGATCTCTCTGTGGCCTTGCAGTTACAGTCTAGTATTTCTCATTTGTTTCACCTCACTTCTTTCCTCCTAATAAAAAAACTGTATAATCAGAGACTGTGGCAATCAATAAGACAGAGTGTTTCTGCCTCTGAGGAAATTTCACGATTTTCAGAACTTTAATAGCTGTGGCATATTCTCTTCTCTCTGTTGAGGTCAGGATTTAATACTCTTAAACTACTTCCTTTGTATTGATGATCCTTAAGTATGGTTAGAAAATGAAGCATTAAGCCTGGCAGAGTTACTTAGAGAAGTGTTGTGACATGCCTATCCTTGGTGAAGCCAGAGCCAAAGATGCTGTCAGAGCTCCACATGTAATAAAAGGAGGCAGCTCTAGTCCATGCTGTCATGAAATGGAAAGTCTTCCTTCAGGGAAATACATTGTGAGGCATGGATCCCCACTGGGAGTGCTTAGTAAATACACATTAAAGGAATACTGCAAATCAAAATTGCTTTACATCTAGATCAGAAGTTTTCATGATATTGTTTTGTTAATTTTTTCAGACTTTTTGAAAAGACCTCTAGAGAGTTATGTGAAGAAACTCAAAGTGCCAGTTCATGTAATTCGAATGGAACAGCGTTCTGGATTGATCCGAGCTAGATTGAAAGGAGCTGCAGTGTCCAAAGGCCAGGTGATCACCTTCTTAGATGCTCATTGTGAGTGCACAGTGGGATGGCTGGAGCCTCTCTTAGCAAGGATCAAACATGACAGGTAATTTTTTGGAGTCTTAAATTTGTTCTCAGTACATTTGTCCTAGACTGCATGATGAGTTGGAAGATTTCTTTATTTTTAAATAAATACAAAAATAATTTCTTCTTGAATTGTTTTTAAAATGTCCTTAAAAAGCCGTGCTTGGTGCCAAATGCCTTAATCCCAGCAACTCAGAAAGCTAAGGTAGAAAGATCACAAGTTTGAAGCCAGCCCCAGCAACTTAGCAAGGCCCTAAATAACTTAGTGAGACCCTGTCTCAAAATAAAAATAAAAAGTGCTGGTGATGTGGCTCAGTGGTTAAGGGTTCCGAGTATTCAATCCCCTGTATAAAAAAAAAAAAAAAAGCCCTGAAGATTCTAAACAAAGTAAGAAGAGCATGACCTAAACTCTGGCAATAATGTGTACAAACTATTTTATTAGTGGGAATGAATTAGGAAGCATATTGTTAAATATTCACCACCAAACAAGAGCAAACATCTGGACAATGAACTCGAGGATGGCAGGATATAAACCTTTACTGTCCCTGCTCTTTAGGGTAACATTGGGACAGGTCATCTCAGCTCTGTCTGAGATTTAGGAATGATTTGGTTGCATAAAGATAACATAACCTTTAGAAACAAGAGTTTGAACCCATAGAGAGAAAGCAGTGTGCAGTGACAACAGTATAAAAGAGAACTGGCAAAAATAACAAACACAGTTACTTCCATTTTGGGCTGTGTGGTGGATTAGATGTTCTGAGTAACTTTTTCAAGTGAAAAAGATAAAATACAAAACAAAATTTTAAATGCATCATTGAGTTGACACAGAGGTTTTAAGAATTTTGCCAGTCTTATAACAAAGTGAGAGCAAATGAGCTATCCAAACATTAAAGCCAGCTTTCAATTACATAGTTTATGCTGAACTCTGGAGACACTGAGCTTTTGCCTTGATAGGTAAATAACATGAGAGGACAGGAGGCAAAGCCTAGGCCTTACCTAAGATGGGAAGATTAATAGCAAATACCCATATAAAGCTGTGATCTGAAATCTATACCTCAGTGTGAGAATGAGATATAGACTCCACCATATCAAAATAAACTTGCCTGTCTCAACCTTAGTATGGGATGGAAGAGGGGAAACAACTTTCCCATAAGGATTTGTAAAACAGAGTATAGAAAAAATGGAAACAACGAAACTCTAAGGCTAGAGTAACTTGCTTACAAAAAAACAGAAAGAACTATGAGGAAAATTATAGCCCAAACCCATTGTGAATGCTAGCATAAAAATTTCACAATACCTGCAAATTGAACCCATCAAAACATACACACACACACACACACACACACACACACACATACACACATATAACTAATTGGTTTAGTTTAAAATCCATTCTGTAATAGTAAAACTATAATTACAAACTTATTAGAAGCCTCTGAGATCACTTCTATAAATAGAGAACAAGAGCGTTCACTAAAACTTAACATCCATTTATTATAAGAAAATACTTAGTAAGCAATTATGGAATGGAAATTTACTAATCCAAGAAAGAATGCTTTAAAAAAAAAATAAAAACCCTTCATAAGCAAACGCTATATAAAAGAAAAACTGTTGAAAGCAGCAGTGTGGTGGTGTACACCTGAAACCCAGCTGTTTTGGAGATTGAGATGGGAGCATCTCAAATACAAGCCCAGCTGGGCAACATAGTGAGTTTGTTTTTTGAAAAGATAGGGAGAAAAATAAGAATGCCCTGAATTGGGTTGTGGGTGTAGCTCACTGGTAGAGCACATGTGAGTACATGGGTTTGATCCAGAGCACCAAAAGGAAAAAAAATCCTGAATCACCTCTGTTGGTATCATTAGAAATCTTAAATTTTGCAGTACAAGGGGAAAAAAAATACTCTGAATTGCAAATGATATTCTTGTCTGTGAAGGATAATCTGTATACGAAATTATAAGAATTTAACAATATGGCCAAATATGAGAAAAGTAAATTGCTCTCTCTAAACCAGCAAGGAATAGTTAGAAAATATATAGTAAAAACAAAAGATACCGTTTAAAATAGTGATAGAAATCATAATCTGTACTTAGCATGAAATATGAAACTACTAAAATTCACTGAAAAATAAATCAAAGTGAAATAAGGGAAGATAAGGCTTATATTTATGAATAGAAAAGTCATTATTGGGGGCTAGGGATATAGCTCAGTTGGTAGGGTGCTTGCCTCACATGCACAAAGCAGCCCTGGGTTCAATCTTTAGCGCACTCCCCCCCCACACACAAAGTCATTATCATAAAAATACCAACTTTTCTCAAATTGGTCTATAAATTCAGTGAGTTTTCAATTGAAACCTCAGAAGAATATTTTTATTTTTTGAGAAACTTGACAAGCTGGTTCTAACATTTTCATGGAAATGCAAAAAAGAACAAAAATGGTTAAGATGGTCCTAGAGGGAGTAAGCATAAGGGAACTTGTTCTGCCAACTGTAAAGATTTATTTTAAAGCTATATTAATTATGACAATGACATATTGTTGTAGGAATTCATAAAAAGACTAGTGAAAGGACAGCCTCCAGAAATCAGCCCATTTCCACATGCATACTTGATTTAGATAGAGTTTATGACAGAGCAGGTGCTGATAATTATAGCAGAGGAAAAAGGGACTATGAAATAAATAGTGCTGGAACAATTGGTAATCCCTAAGGAAAATAAGGTTGGATACCTCTGCTTATCATACCCAAAATCAATTTCTTAAAGATTAAAGACTTAAATGTGAAAAGCAAAAATATACTTCTTTGAGGGTTTTTTTTTTTTTTGGATGATGCTGGGGATTGAACCCAGGGCCTCATATATGTGATCAATTTTATGATCTTGGGGGAGGGAAAGATTTCTTAAATAAGATCAAAGGCTGGGTAGGATATTACATACTATAAAATTTGGCTAGCAAAGACTCTAGGGCACATTCCCTTAGAAAGAGCTGTTGTCATTCATTTCAGACTTATTTTTAAAACCCCAATATACCAGTTGAAAATCCCTTCAATTTATGATCAACTAGTTTGTATGAAGAAATACAAACCTGAAGGAAAAGTATATTAATAATTAGAAAATGCAATTTTTAAAATACAGAGATATTATTTAGTGTTATTATATAAGAAAAAACATCCAAAATTGATAGCATTATGGGAAAGCTGCAGGAAGAAGTCTGTACATATGCATATAACATTTCTGGAAAACAAGAAGGAATAGAGCCTTTAATTTACTAATCTCACTGCTGGAAGTTTACTCTTAAGGCAACAGTTAAAGTTTGTGTACATAAACATATTCACTTAGTATCTCATTAGCAAAAAAAAAAACTGTAAAGAACACAAATGTCCAAGAGTTGTTTATTAAGAAAATACTTTGAAATGACTATAGTCACTAAAAGTGTAATCTTAAAAAACTGTAGAAATAGTTTGCATTTTTTACATGTGGCATATATGCAAAAGTATAAATGAAAAAGGGACAGAAGATTATCAACCAACACATAATCATGATGTTAGCTACTGCAGGAAGTTTTTTCATCCTTATCTTTAACATTATAGAATATGTTTTTATTTTAAAAACAATTGGTGTATAATTGTTACATAACTATGGTAAGCAGCAACATTCTGAAAGATTTTTAAATTGCTTTTTATGATATTAGGAGAACAGTGGTATGTCCTATCATTGATGTGATCAGTGATGATACTTTTGAGTACATGGCAGGCTCTGATATGACTTATGGTGGATTCAACTGGAAGCTTAATTTTCGCTGGTATCCTGTTCCCCAGAGAGAAATGGACAGAAGGAAAGGTGATAGGACTCTTCCTGTCAGGTAACTAATCTGTTTTCCCTAAAGTATTATTGACAGAGGATTGTAAAGCTTTGGGAGTCATATCAAAAAGATTATAAGTGTAATTGGAGAAACATGAAGTAATTGCGTATCTTATATGTAGTTTAAGAGCCAATTTCACATATATCAATATTTTTAAAAGGAATTTTTCCTCCAATCAGTTAATAAAATTAGAACTTTTCCATGTATTCTAAAAATCTAACATACATGAAATATGATGACATATTATTTCATTTCTCTATGATCATTTTGAAAATGTCCAATCTGCTTTAATTCATTTGTTAAAGATAATGATATTTAGCATAAATCAAACTGACCCTTAATGAATTGTGTCAGTATATAAAAACATTACTTAAAACTGGATCCTTGCACTACAAGAGAAGACTTTTAATTCAGTCTCATACCATCTGGATGATAGTTCCTATCTGGTAAGGCTAGCAGAGCTTTTTCAAACATAAAAATAACTAGAATTAACAAAGTACAAAAAAGATATCCATTAATTCATTTTTTAATTTTTATTTTGTTTCACATTTGACTATATATAGATTTTTTTTTCCCCAGAAAAATCTTTATGTAGTTCAGGATATGAGATCTTTGCACTTTCTGCATCATCTAGGATTTATCCCAGTTGCATCCACATGTTGCTTCTGTAGTATTTAAGAGTTCTTTCAGTTTCTTTAGGCTTCTGCTTTCTCCTATTCTGGACTTCTGAGGTCTGCTTTCCCATGAATTCAAGTCCAGTTCTAGCTAAGTTGAGATTTTTCACTGTGTTTTTTTTTTCCTAAGCTAGCCTGAGTTCTTACCAGAACAAGGTACATTCCCTCTCTGTAGATGTTAGTTCAATTCAACATCTAAATTAGGGGTTCTTCAACAATTTGAAGATGATGGACGTATTTGAAAGTCTGATGAAAGACATGGGTCTTCTCCAATGGGAAAAGATGCACATGGCCTTAGAGAAGATTTTAGCAGGTCAGGTATCCCTATACTAAACAGTAGCTCTGCATGTTGGCCTGTGTCCTTTGACTGCTAATATTTTTAGCCTTTTCTCATTCTTTTTCTCTTCTAAGATCAAAATAAGTCCAAACTTTTTTTGGAAACAATTTTCAACACTAATAGGCAAGTGCTGTTATCTTAAGTAGACCATGGAATTAAATATATTTTAGGGCTATAGAAGTGACCAGTTCATCTTAAAATATAATCTTTATAATATCCTCAGACCCTAGTACTTACTTTTTCCTTGCTGGAGTCTGTGTTATCTCCATACTCATTCTTTGTGGAAATAAAATGATTAACTTATACTCATTTTAAATAAATGAAATCTCCCTGAAATTATTCTTTATTATGATTTCTCTGCTTAATCCACTTATGCCCGCCAACCCCAATCCCTTGCATACCTGGCGCAATGATTTGGGCTCCATTTTGGAGAAAACATACCGTACTTGGTCAAGGTGATGATTTTATTAAGAATATTTAATGGGCTGGGTACGGTGGCACACACCTATGATCCTAGTGGCTTAGGAGGCTGAGGCAGGAGGACGCGAGTTCGAAGCCATCTTCAGCAAAAGCAAGGCACTAAGCAACTCAATGAGACCCTGTCTCTAAATAAAATACAAAATAGGGCTGGGATGTGGTCTAGTGCCCCCGAGTTCAATCCCTGGTATCCCCCCCCAAAAAAAGAATATTTAATAGAATCATTAAGATTTAATAGAATTATTAAATTATTCTGTTAAGCATAGGAAAGGGGCCTTATCATTTTCATCCTATTTAATATTATGACTTTGGAGTATTTGCCACCTTTTTGAACCTGGCATATAACTCTAACCTGAGTTCATATAGTCAACTAACTGCCTTTATAATTGCTAGGAACTGTGTAATGTGTACACAGTCACATGGAGAGGATTATGAGGAATAGCTTCAGTTTAAGGAGTTTGAAGTGGAATCTAAGTCAGAATTGAGGACAGAGAAAGGTGCTCAAGACAGGGAACATCCTTAAGACTTGCACAGTGAGGGATATCCAGGCAGAAACGATGACAGTGGGTCCAGCAGATAGCCTAAGCAGTATACAAGTCTTGTCTGACACCAGAGCCCTTAGAAGCCTTTGAAAGTTTTTGAAGAGTGAGAATAAGCATTATTCTGTAGTTAGAAACAGTTACAAAACTATAGTATCTTTTAAAAACAAAAACTCATTGTAGTAGGAAAGATGGTGGAATGAGATGGACATCATTACCCTCAGTACATGTACGAAGATACAAATAGTGTGACTCTACTTTGTGTACAGAGAAATGAAATAACAAATTTATTCTATTCTATTATTTGTTATTCTAATAACAAATAAATAATTTTTAAAAATTCATTGTAAATTTTTAATCATTAATATTAATGGTATAGTATTATGATTGAATTTCAGAACACCTACAATGGCAGGAGGCCTTTTTTCAATAGACAGAGATTACTTTCAGGAAATTGGAACATATGATGCTGGAATGGATATTTGGGGAGGAGAAAACTTAGAAATTTCCTTTAGGGTAAGTTCCTTTTGAAAAAATTAAGTCTTGTATTTAACCTCAAATATTATGCTTTGATTATTCATGTTATCTCTAAATAAAAAATAAAATTGAAGTTAATGTGAGTTTAATCTGACTCCAAAGCCTTTGGCCCATAAAAACTTTGGGAATACTATTAAGGGTTCATTTAATACAATTAATTATCTTAATAGTCCAATTTTAAAATTTACATAAGATTCCCTAATTGTTTTTAATTTCTATCATTTTCAAGGAAACAATTCAAGCTCTAAAAAATAATATGTAGTTTATATATGTTACTTTGGTACTTAACTGCTAAAACTTAATTTCATATTCTGTGATATACTTTTTGTCTTATATGAAAATTTTTCATTTATATATAATACCTGGTCATTTTATCAGCTTTAAATTTTTCAATAAAAAATAGAGTGCAAAACTTCTAAAACTGGCTCTAAATTAATTTAACACAGTTGACCTTATATCAAAACCATTTCATGTTCACTAAAATCAACATATTTAGATGACGTTATATATTCTTCAGTAATTAACTCACAACACATATCTCACTATAATAGAAACTATACTGAAGGGTACTGTAATCTGAACCCTTGAGCTCACTTATTTCTAGTGAATCCCTTTGCCCTCTTGTAAAAGGAGAGGGTTGGGCCCTAGATCCTCTAGATCTATCCAGCTTTAACACTTTTTAGATCCTGGGTAAACTTGAAGATAGGCTGTAAATAGTTAATAAAATCAAAACCTTTCAAAATGTGATTTTAATTGCAAATAGCTATATGAGATTTTTAATTTAGGGAGAAAATATATTTGAAAGGACAAGTATTTTGTATTAAATACTTGTCCTCATACTTGATCTTTTCCCCCTTTTTTGTTTTTATTGTTTTTACCACAAAACATATTATCACTATCTCCCTAAAGAACTTATGATAGATCTGATTTCAATTCCTATGTTCTGTCTAATGTACAAATAGTGACACAGATTAGAGAAGGGAGGAAAGAAAATCTGGCTGGTTACTACATGGTCAGTTTCATGTTTTGTTTTTTTGTTTTTTCACCAAGAATCACATTAATAAACACATTATACACAAATAAAGCCATAGTATGTCCTTGTTAACGAGGACTGGTCGTAATTCTGATATTTGAATTTATGATCCTCTTATGAATCCTGGCCTGTGTTTAGAAAAATAAGTGTTTTCTAAAACATCTTCTGTCTCTTCTGTATTTAGCCTTTAATCTATCTTTTCTGTGTTTTAATCTGCTATTTTTCATTTGTTCAAAATTGATGATTGGAGAAACATTTGCTCCTGAGAAGCAGTGGCTTTGTAATCAAATAACCACTGTTTGCCTGGGATTCTATGAAATTCCAGCTATAAAACTCAATTGATGTCAACGGTTTGGGTTTTTTTTTTTTTTTGGTTTATTTTTTTTTTAAGAAAATCAATGTTTGATATGGCCTTCTTTACTGTTTTCAGATTTGGTAGTGTGAAGGTAGTTTGGAAGGTTTTTAACAGTAAATGAAGATTTTCCATTTAAGATTAAATAAAAGCCAAACCTCTACTCATTTGAAAGGAAAATTGCAATGGGAAGACTAAGATTATCTTTTCCTGGATACTGAGCAATGTATTACATGGTCTTCTTTGCATTGTGTTCAGATTTGGCAGTGTGGAGGAACTTTGGAAATTGTCACTTGCTCACATGTTGGACATGTGTTTCGGAAGGCTACCCCATACACATTTCCAGGAGGCACAGGGCAAATTATCAATAAAAATAACAGACGACTTGCAGAAGTATGGATGGATGAATTCAAGAATTTCTTCTATATAATTTCTCCAGGTTAGTTTATTTTGCATTAGAAATAAAAGGCTATATACTTTTTTCCCCGATCTATGCATTCTGAAGAGAGGCAAGAGGGTAGAAATGAAGCTTTGAGCATGAACACTTGCCCTATAATGAGGTTATGGTAAGAAGTAATGAAACCACAGTATAGAATGTGCTTGGCAAAGTGCCCAGCACTTTAGTATTATATAATACTAGTAATATATAATACTTTAGTATTATTGGCAATAATACTAAATTATCATGGTCACTTTTGCCAGCCCAGGTGGTGGTGGTGGTGGTTGGTAGTGGTTGTCATAATCTTCATCTTCTTCTTCCTCTTCTCCCGCCCCACCTCCTCTATCTCCTTTTCTTCCTCTTCCTCCTCATCTTCTTCTTCCTCCCCTCTTCTCCTCTTCTTCTCTTCCTCCTCCTCTTCCTTCTTCTTTTTTAACCTAACTGCAGTGTTTGACGTTTATTCTGTGATGTTTCAGCTATTTTCCAGGCTTGTATGACTTTCTGGATTCTTAACTTTTTTTGATCAAAAAAAAAACAAAAACAGAACAGTGTTTTAGCAGTAGGTCATGATTATTCTCTGAAAGCAGGCTCTTGAAGCCATCATACAAGATTTTGTTAAATTGTCTAATATCACAAGTCCTTTGCAAAGCTCTTGAACATGGTCTCTAGGGACATTTCTCTGCTATTCAGAGTTTTATGGGAACTATTGTTTCATTAGCTATAAATCCGCCTTACATTGTTACAATTCTGTCCTCATTTTTCAGTTACCACAAGTCTAACAAATAGTAGTGTGTACAATTCAGTGAGTTGTGTAAGAGAAACCTGACTGGAAACAAGTGTACTATTTATTATTTAGAAAAATAGATTTTGATTTTTTTTTGTTTTTCCAGAAGATATATTAAAGTTTGATTCCCATATAGCTTGTATTTGCATATATTGTTAATATGTATTTTATTCTCACATAAATGTAGTTTTCTTTTGAAAGATTAAAATACATTTAATGTCTTTTCCTTGTTTTATATGTTAGAAGTGGATATGTAACTAACTATGTAATCATGTCACCTAAATAATGCCACTTTTCTATTCAACTGTCTTATTAGAATCAACATATAAATGGATTTGTATTCTCTTGATAGGACACTAATAATTCAGCATTAATTATTTCTTTCAACAGGTGTTACAAAGGTAGATTATGGGGATATATCATCAAGACTTGGTCTAAGACACAAACTACAATGCAAACCTTTTTCTTGGTACCTAGAGAATATTTACCCTGATTCTCAAATTCCACGTCACTATTTTTCATTGGGAGAGGTAAAAACATGTATTCTTTGTGTTTATTATATTCTTAGTTCCTCATTTAAAAAACATAGAGATTAAATAAGATACTTCAGAGTACCTTCAGATTAAAATTAAGTAATCTCAAGTGTGGAAAAGTTCTTATTTACACAGTGTCTGCCTCATAAGTTGAAATATTATTTTATCATGTTATATTTTATTAAAATAAGGATGCTCTATCTTGTTACAATATAAATATCTTCAATAAACTTATTTTTTAACAAACTAACCTATTTACTTGATCACATACTCACAAAGCTTATATACTAGTTTTAGTCCCAAATCAAAGCTTAAGAAATTTTAAAGTCAAGATAAATTCTAAAGACTGACAGAGAAGTTTGAAAGATCATTCATAACATTGTATTTTTGGCAAATTTTATCCTTTGGGAGATGTAAGTCTTGGTTTGTGCAGGGAAGTTGGAAAGAATATTGATAAACATGTTTGTTTCTGGTGATGCTTTTAGTTATTCTCTTAGAGTTCAGCAGCAAATGTTCTTGAAATCTGAAGGAGTCTCTGCTTATTAATGCTTCTAATTAGTTAAAACAAATTAGTTAAGCTTTGGAGGTTAGCTTTTTATCCCAGAGAATTCCCATACTGTAAGGATCTCTTATAAGAGAGATTTATATTCTTACTACTTCTGTTGTAACTTCCAGGAAGGTCACAAGCAACCATTTTGTATGCCGTCTTCCTCGAATGTCAATGGCCATCCATTCTGTGTTCCATCTAGACCTTGGCTTTGTCTAGGGATCCAAATAGGTTCTTCCCCTAGCCCAGAATTCTGATTGTTATTGTTATTAATCCAAAATGTTGACTCTGGAGGTCAGTCTCCCAGAAGCCTAAGTTCAAACTTTTCTTAGAAGGGACACAACTGTCTTCGCCTATAGCCCTTTTAAATCCCTGTTCCTTCCTCCATTCCCAAGAAACAAGAACCATTTTCTTTTTTGTTAATTTTCTTTTATTCTCTGTTGTTGCCTTCTTAGTTGTAATGCTTGTGTTTTTGTTTTCATAGTTGCTGTAGAGATTTCAGTATTCATCTCTGAAGTATCACAGTCTACCTTAAGTTAGTGCTTTCAACAGCTTGCAGTTTAACTGATGTTTTTGCCTCTAGTTTTTAATGCAGAGGTGTTGGATTACTGTGTCCTACCAAGAAGCAGTGCCTTTCCTTCTCTTCCTTATTATAGTAGAACACTCCAAGTTTTGGGACTATAAAGATTTGAGATATCCTTTATTAATAATCTTGCAGTTTCTTCTTTATCATTGTTAAAGAAGTTGAAGATCCATGTTATCACTGCTCAAGTCAGTGATTTTTAACACAGCCCAATACTGGATTGTAAATCAATTCAGCTGCTTTTGACCACCATTTTTTTTTTTAATAGTCTGGGAAAAAAGTACAAATTTGTATTGCTTACAGTAAAGTTTTTACTGAATCATGATGAGAAAATATATTTCTCAATATCAGTTGCAATCAAAAAAGTTTGAAAGCCTCTGTCTTTTAAAGGATACATCACAATTCTTTTTTGACTAGGCTTATATTGTAGAATATGCTCACTATCAGATGTTTTCTGTCTGTTAGCCTCTTCTTTTATTGTCCACCTTTCCAGTAGATACACTTTCTTTTCTGCATTCTGTCCCTTTTACCCAGAGAACACAGGCCTCCTGCTTTGCATAAAACAGCCATTATTTCTTTTTCTACCCCTGCACAGACTCCTTTGCTTGGAATTGGCTCATTTTTTTTCTGGGATAGTCTTAGCACTTAAAAGACTTACTTGTACATAGACCCTTTGTGAAAAGATGTAGCCATCCTTGTTTTGACTCCATAGTTATTTGACTTACAGAAAAATTGTAGAGAGGGAAAAAGAAGAGTTATTCCAGTACCATAGGCATGTATTTGGTAGTCTCTGACAGGGATCAGAACACCATGGCCTGCAGGCTAAGTCCACTCTGTTGCCTGTTCTTGTAAATGAATATGTATTGGAACATGGCCATGTCCCTGAATTTACTTACTGCATTTAGTTACTTTTGCACTACAGCAGTAGAGTTGAATAATTGCCATAGAGACCATATGACCCAGAAGACTAAAATATTTACTTTCTTAAATATTTAAGAAAATATTTACTGAGCCCCGGAATATGCAGTCAGGAGCAATCACTGACAACCTTCTTTATCCTCATCTATTGTTACAGCTTGTGTTTGACCACTTGGAGCTTTTATTGAGGTATTTTCTTCAAATGATAAAATTAAACTTCTTTGCTTCCTTCCTCCTTTTTATCCCATAAGTGTAAATAATACTGTTTTGCTCCCACCTCTCCCCAAAAGTCAAATCCATTGGGTTAATGTGCCTGAAAATATGTATATAGCGTATAATCTTGCCTTTTCTGCTATTCTTTCCCTATAGCAATGTGTTTCGTTAACAGGCTAAACCATCTGCAATTCATTGCAGGTCTTTATGAACTTTTGATTATAAAAATGTCTTTTATAGAAAGAACAAGAAGCAAAATGAGGTGAAAATCCAACCTTTTATGATAGAAATTGATAGGACAAAATTTCCTTTTGAAAGGCATAGTAGCAAAAGATGACATATGTGACCAGGGCCACAGCCAGGCCCTATCCTAACAGTTAATCTTTCTAACACTCAGGAAGTAATCCCCTCCCTACTCTATAGGAAGTTGTCTCTTCTTTAATTCATTCATTTAGAAATATTTATTTCAGTACCTATTATGTAATAGATACTATTTAAGTACTAAGGACATAGTAATGAATAAAGATCCTGCCCTTATTGATATTACAGTCATGGGGGAAACAAGTTATGAAAAATATACAGTATATCAGATGATAGCCAGAATAGAGAACAACTGGTAACCGTGGACAATGGTGCTGTTTTTTGTAGGGTAGTTGAGACAGCCTTCTTATAAGGTAATTTACTGAGCAGAGATCTGAAAGAAGTGAGTGAGCAAGTCATATAAATTTGTGGGGAGGGGATATTCTGAGCACCAATAACACCAAGAACAAACATTCCTAAGATGTGCATGCACTTGGCATATTCAGCTGGGAGGGAGTTGTCTAGAACAGAGTGAACAAGTAGAGGGATAGTAGAAGATAAGGTCAACAACTAATGAGGGTTAGGTCATACAGAGCATATAGTAGTGAGGACTTTGGATTTTATTTTGGTGGGAAGACAAGCAATATGCGCAAACTCCTTTGAAAAAAAGATCAGATTGCCTCTATATGGAGCATAAATATGTGGGAGCAAGAGTCGAACAATATATTAGTGGAAGGAAAAGAATAGTCGAGGATTATATTAAGGTTTTGACTTGAAATACCGGTACTGGTAGAGTTGGCATTACTGAGATGAAAATGTCTGTAGAAAGAGGAGCCTCTGAATGGATTCAGCAGAGCAGTTTGGAGCACATTAAATTTGAGATCCAAGGGAAGATGTTGATTAGGTAGTGACATTTAAAAATCTGTAGTTTGGGGAAGAGGTTGGCACTGGAGATCTAAATGTAAGGGTCATCAGCATATATATGATTTTTATTCACAAAACTACATGAGGTTACCTTGGGAGGAGCAAATACATGTGGAGAGAGAAGACTGAGGACAAAGCCAAGGGAACTTCACAGTTGAGAAACCATGGAGATAAGAAAGAATCACAAAAATTTTTCGAGAACTAGACAGTGAAATAGAGGGAGAACTGAGAGAATGGTGTCTCAGAGACTATGTAAAGTATTTGCCTCAAGAAAGAAGAAATAATCAATTGTTTTGAATACTACAGAGAAAACAAGCAATATGAGTACTGAGATCTGATTTGGCCAAGGATATGCTGTAAGTAGTGTCAAGAGTTTCCATGGAGATTGTTAGGAGAGAATGGGAGAACTGTAGATCATGAATGTTTAACAGTCTTGCAAGGAATTTTATTGTAAAGAAGAACAGAAAAATGGGTGTTAGCTAGAAGAGGATATGTAGTTAAGGAAAGAGTTTTTTATTTTTTTATTTTTAGATAAAACTGGGCTATATGAGTTAGGCACAAAAGAGAAAATTGGAACATACAAAAGAAGGACCAGCTTTACAACCATTAGTCTGACTTGTGTCAAAAAAAAAATGACAGTAGCACATGTGGGAAAGGTGTGGAAAAATCTGAACCTTGTGCACTTTTGGTGGTAGTGTAAAATGCTACAGCTGATCTGGAAAATGCTATGGAGGTTTCTCAAAAAATAAAAAATAGAGGGCTAGGAGTGTGGCTCAGTGGTAGAGCTCTTAACTTTAATATGTGTGAGACCCTGGGTTTGGTCCCTAGCACTGCAAAAAAAAATAAAAATAAATTTAAAAATACAGTTAACTCTGGTTGTGGTGGTGCACATCGTAATCCCAATGGCTGGAGAGGCTGAGACAGGAAGATAATTAGTTCAAGGTCAGCTTCAACTTAGCAAGGCCCTAATCAACTTAGTGAGACCTTGTCTCAAAAAACAAAAAGGATTGGTGGTATAGCTCAGTGATAAAGCACCCCTGGGTTTGATCCCCAGTGATTTCAAAAATATATACAGCTACCATATGATACAGCAGTCCCATCTCTGACTATACTATATATCCAAAGAGGGTTTCAGAGAGGTATTTGTATATCCATGTTCATAGCAGCACCATTCATAGCTAAGAGGTGGGAGCAGCCCAGATGTCCATCAATATATGAATGGATAAACAAAATGTGGAAGCTGCATATAATGGAATATTATTCAGCCTTTAATAAGGAAGGAAATTCTGACATGTACTACAACATAGATGAACCTTGAAGATATTATGCTTAAGTGAAATAAACCAGTGACAAAAAACGATAAATAACATAATTCTGCTTACATGGGTGAGGTACTTAGAGTAGCCAAATTCATAGAAACAGAAAGTATGACGCTGGCTACCATGGGCTGAAGGGATGTGGAAAAGAAGAAGTGTAATGGGTATAAAGTTTTAGATTTGCAAGAAGGAGACG